GTGATGGAATTGTTTGGTAACTTAACTGTAATGACGGCATTAGGCAAAAGCCATAAAATGGTATACCGCATCAGTTTGCACTATGTAAAAAAAATAAGTAAATATGCCAAAAAAAAGATCCCCCTGCATACCTACCTAAGTGACAACATGTACTGTCAAGGATAGAGAGCAAATGGAACTCACACATTCCTGGTGGTAATGTAAATTGCTACAACTGCCTTAGAAATCTGTTTTTCAGTATCTTCTAAAATTAAACATATGCATATCCCATAAATCATCAATTTTACCTCTAGACATATACATAACAGTAACATATATTCACCAAAGAAAGTAAATCCAAGCATGTTCATAGCAGCTTTGTTTGTATTAGCAAAAACCTGGGAACAATTCCAACATGTACAAACAGTGGAATGGCTAAATAAATCATGGTATAGTGACAAAATGGAATACTATATGGCAATGAGAACAAAGTATTGCTCACATGACAAGACACATGACTCTCACAAGCAATATTTAATATAAAAATCTCTACTAAAACTACAAAACATTAGCTGGGCATGGTGGCGCGTGCCTGTAATCCCAGCTACTCAGGAGGCTGAGGCAGGAGAATTGCCTGAACCCAGGAGGCGGAGGTTGCGGTGAGCTGAGATCGCACCATTGTACTCCAGCCTGGGTAACAAGGGTGAAAAACCTTTTCCTAAAAAAAAAAAAAAAAAAAAAAAGAGTATATAGTGTATGATTCCATTTATGTAAAGCAATAAAAAAATGTTGCAAAATAGTGATTACCTCTGAGCAGAAGTAGTGACTTGGAGGGTATTACAAGGAGGTCCTAGCAATGTTCTATTTTGTGATTTAACTACTGGCTATCTTGTTGTATTAAGTTGTGAATGTTCATCAATGCATTCACTCAATTTGGGCATGTTTTCTGTTTGCAAATTATATTTCCATTAAAAATATTTTAGGCCAGTCATGGTAGCTCACGCCTATAATCTCAGCACTTTGGGAGGCTGAGGCAGAAGGATTGCTTGAGGCCAGAAATTTGAAACCAGTGTGGACAACATAGTAAGACTTCATCTTAAAAAAAAAAAAAAATTTTAATTTTCTGGGTGTGCTGGTGCATGCCTGTGGTCCTAGCTACTAAGGAGGCTAAGGTGGGAGGATCACTTGAGCCCGGGAGCTCAAGGCTGCAGAAAGCTATGATCACATCACCGCACTCCAGCCTGAGTACAAAGCGAAACCCTATTTCAAAAAAAAGTTTGAAAAGTGGTATATGTATGCTTCATTTTCTTTTCTTTTTAAAATTTAGGCTTGCTTATATAGCCAATTGCTATAAGTCTATAACTAAAACCAAGATTACAGTAGCTCAACACATAGAAGTTAAAGATAGATAAGCCAACTTTGTAACCTCACCTTTGGCTTTTTGCTTGTTGGCTTTTAGATTACTTAAAAATTTTAAGGGGTAATGAATGACCATCCACATCCATTACTGTCTGGCCTAGAACATTTAAACTAGTTATAAGTCTTTTGGCTGTAAGTCTCTTGGCCATAGTGGTCCTACTAAGTGACAGGATGGACCTGGGGCAGGCAGTCATACCACTTCAACAATGCTATGGGACAAAATAAAAGTTTGGCCATTGATGTTGGCTCTGGCAAATCTTGGCCAGAAGTGAAGAATGTAAACCAAAAATAAAATTCTAAGCTCCCCAATCATATTAATGGACCCCTTCTCTTGGCCAAAGTTAACCTGAAAAACTAGTTCAGGACATGATTGGGAAGGGGGAGTCTGACACACCTCATTACCATTAGCATGAATACAGACCTTAAGACTGATAGAACAGACTCTTTAATAAGAAACATTTACAGTCTATTCTCTCGGAAGCCTGCTACCTGGAGGCTTCATCTGCATGATAAAACTTTGGTCTCCACAACTCCTTATCATAAACCAGATATTCCCTTCTAACAATTCCAGATCTTTAGATAATAACTCAACTAATTATTAATACCAGCCAGAAAATTTTTGAATCTGCCTATGACCTGGAAGTCCCCCACCTTCCATTTGTCCCACTTTCTAGACCAAACCAATGTATATCTCACATGTATCAATTGATGTCTTTTATCTCCTTAAAAGCCAAGTGGCCTGACCACTTTGGGCATGTCACCAGAACTTCCTTAGGCAGTGTCATGGGCATGTCCTTAACCTTGGCAAAATAAACTTCTAAACTGATTGAAAAACATATTTTAGGTTTGCTGATAAGATTGTTTGATTCCAAGGGAGAGGTGTGAGAATTATACATGAAAGTTTTTGTTCCCAATTAGATAGAAGGATGGAAGCAACTTTTGATCACCTGCTCTACCATGAACAGCACCAGGGGCTTCACAACAACCACGAGAGGTATGTATTTTATTTCCATTTTAAAGATGAAGAAGACTCAAGAACAAGAAGAAGATTACTGGTCTCAATTACAAATATACAATTCCTGCATTTCTAGAATTAAAAACTTGGGGAATACCTGAGAGAGAAAGGTCTCTAAAGAGCATTTAATCCAGCCCCTTTATTTTACAAACAAGGAAAATCTGTCCCAGGAGGGAAAGGGACTAGTTCAAGATTATCTATCTACTGAAAGAGATGCAACTCTAACTTCAGTCTCTTGAGTGCCACCCAGTGGACAATATACCATGACCGATATTTACAGACAAGTTTTCAAAAAACTTTACGGAATAGTGGGAAAGAGCATTCATTAAATTGGGAGTTGGAAGAACTGGATCCTGTCCCGGTTTTGCCAAGTAAGCTTAGCTTCCCCACTCTTGGTGTTAATTTCCCCACCTGTGTAATATGAGGTGCGAATAGCAAAACCAACACGAGGCAGCAAGTCTTCAGTCCAAGACAGAGATAGATCCAGGTTTTGTGGGGCTTGAAGCTTGTAACATTTGGGGCCTTCTTTAAGTACAAGAATGCAAAATTACCAACATAAAATTGGGAACAAAAGCAAATATTTAAAATGAGAAAAAAAGAAGATAAATTTGAAAAAGTTGACAAATGTTAGAAACGTCTGAAAATTTAGAAAAACAAAACAAAACATAAATAACTACTTATCTTTAGTCCTTAACTGCCTGATGTACTTCTGTAGTATGTTATTCCTACTTTTCCTGTTTGTTATAGTTGGAAATTCACAGGATTCAGCATATAATCATAACTAAGATTTATTACAGCTGTGTGGTTAGGACACAGTCAGACCACAGGGATAAAAGACACAAAGTTTGGAGGAACCCATACACAGACTTCCTTATGCTCTCTCCCTCATGAGGGGCCACACAGAGCACATGCTTCTCCAGGCAAAAATAATGCCATGACACGTGTGATGTTTCTGGCCAGAGAAGCCCAGACTCACTGCCCACAGTTTACACTGGGGTTTGGTTACACAGACATCCTCTGCCTAGCATGCACCAAAATTCCAGACTCCCAGAAGGAAAGCAGGTGTTCAGCATAAACCACGTTGTTTGTATCAACAGTCAAGGCAGAGTGAGCCATCTTATCAGTTACCTGTTGACTAGGGAAATTCTGAGAGTGGAGTTTCCAGATGCTAGCAGGGAGTGTAACTTCCAAGCAGGTCTAAGGGCAGCAGTACAGTGTAGAGCCACAGCCCTATAGGGTCCTGGGGTGTCCCCTATCACTGTGCTGAGGCACTGGATCTGAAAAGTAAAGAGGACACAGAAGGACTGGAAAAGACAGCTGGGCTCAGGGGGCCACGCCACTTACAAGCGGAGACAGGTGAGGCCCTGAACATCCAGAAGTGTCTGTATATACTGGGTATAGGTTGGGAGGAAGGGTAGTGAGTGAGGTCATCTTTAAGGACAGTGATAGGATCAAGACATTCACGTGAGCGATAAGCAAGGGGTCCACCCCCATTAGGTCACCTAGGCTAGGAGGTGGGCAGTGTGCAGCAAGGGGTCCACCCCCATTAGGTCACTGAGGCAAAGAGGTGGGCCGTGCACAGTGAAGAGGGTGCAGTGTGCAATATCTCCATCTAGGGGCAGGCTACTTCTAAGGAATTCTATAGCAGGATGCTTTGAGCAGCAACAGAGCTGACAAGTTTCACAGCCACCTGCTGGCAGCTTCCAATGATTTCTATAGGAGGATGATCTGAATCAGCACAGTAGCTAGAGAGCTGACAAGTTACAGTCACCAAGGCGCAATTATACCAGAGTGGTTTTAAGCCCTCGGATGCTCGCGGGATTGCTGGTCTGAGGGTGGCCTTTCACAAGAATTGGATGCAAGGTACTACGACTCCTTTTTCAGGAGGAGAGGCTCTTGCTCCAAGCCTGCCATACAGTGGGTATCTTTACAATACTGAACGCTGCCTCCTGGGCCAGATTCTTGTCCTGGTATAACTGTTTTTCCCTTAAATTATGCTCTGCACCATGTCTGCTCTAGACATTCCTCTGACTATAAGCAACATATGCTTATATATGTATAGCTGCTTTTATCCCGTTATTCATGCTCTGTACCGTGTCTGCTCTAGGCATTCCTCTGACTATGAACTAAGATATAATTATATATAGGTGTATATAAATGGAAATAACTGAGTAGTAAGATATTCTTCAGGCACTAATTATTCTGACTATAAACTAATACATGATTATATATAAAGAATTATATAAATGAAATAACTGAGTAATAACGCTATAAACTAAGATATTCTTCAGGCACTAATTGTGCTGGGGATCTGCTTAGCTCTCCTTCCTCAGTGCTCAGATAGGTGATTACACACAACACAGGACTGTTACATGAACTCTTCTGCATACTACTCAATGTTTCTAGTCCTTCTACAGGTCTGTGTCCTACAATCACAGGAATTCTGAAAAATGCCATTTCATAAAACCCCCATCCACATGTGCAAATCAATGTATCTTGTATTTACAATTACATACAGTGCGTGCTGGGTATATTCCTGACAAGAGAGCACTTTTGCTTTCCAATGAAAATGGAATCCTTCACTTACAATTTTACACATCTGATTGATGACTGGAAGATTTTTCCACAGACTACCTTCTGGTGCTGTACCTTGTGAATCTTGATTTTCCTCTACTGCCAACATACCCCTGATGCCAAGTGCTGCAAGTCACAGTGACATTACAATGTACCCTCCAGCCTCACCCCTCTTGTCCTAACACTGGATGCATCAGCACAGTAAGCAGAAGCATTCCTGAAAGCTATTCCAATACAGGGCAGCTGGCAATAACTGGGAAATACATGGAATTGCTTGTGGATCCCTAAAAGATATCTCAAAAATATATCCTAAACTAAATGAATCCCTTAGTTGAATTCCCAATACGACCATTGTCGTTGCATTGCTACCCAACACACAGGCAAGAGGGATGGAGACGGCATAGTGGAAAGAAAGCTTCCCTGAACCAACTGTGGTTAAAATATCTTCTGTAGATTTTCCAAACCATACAACTGTAAAATGCTAGGGCTCCCAGGGCTATGCAATCAAGAGACACTGAAGCTTTATCTTAAACTTCATTCACTTCACTGTACTTGCATAGGGTCTAGAGACCTATAGAAGAGAAACCAAACACTGAGAAAAGACTTGGGGCCCAGATAATGAGACAGAAGGGAAGAGAGTACACAATCAGAAACAAGGACAAGGAAATTAAGACAAATTTCAGATAAACATAGTGCAAGATTTACCTGGGAATCTGTGACCTGCATGTGACCTAGCATGGGAGAAGCACCATGAAGAGTCACCTTCCTAAGCTGGGGCACAACCCAAGGACCAAAACAACAGAGCTGACTTTTCCATGGCTGACCCAGAAGGATGTACCAGGAGATTCTGTTGATATTAGGTGGAAGGGGGGACTAGTTCAGAAATGTCAGGCTTCTTGAACCACAGACAGAGAGAAGCTTTGCTGGGCAGGCATGGAATTAAACTGGGCAAACCAGGAACCAGAGACAGCTAAGAGACACAACCTCTTAAATTGGTCAGCACTGAATCCCCAAACAGTCACAGCATCAAATGTGTCTTGAGCTACAAAGGGCCTTCTAGAAACCATATTCCAACATTTCACCACCATCTTGTGGGTAGAGAGATCAAATCACCATAGGAAGGGTTAGAAAGACTGGTTGAGCCCTGCCTTGAACACTTACAGTACAAACTGAGGCAAATCACATGCCCTCTCTGAATCTCAGCATCCTCATCTCTCGAGTGAAGAGAATGATAATGTGGTCCCAGGAGCCTGTGGAGAATTCAGTGTCACATTAGGATGAGAAAAGGGAGTTGGAGAGGCACTCTTGCTGACCCTGAACACAACACAAGAACCCAAGGGCCAGCAGCTGTAAGCTTCAAAGCCTTGCAGTAATGTTACCTTTGCTTTACTACAGAGGAGACACCAGCAGGGGAGCTGTGTTGAACTCTCTCTAAGCACACTGTAGGAGCACTCAGAGTATGTCGATTCTCACAGACTCTTCTCTGTCCCTACTGTACAAGCAGTTTCAAGCAGGGGTCTTGTTGGTATTTTAGAGGAAAACTGATGGTACTACTTTGGGTAGTACCACTACTTTGATTAATTTGATAAGACTAACAGTCATTTTACAAAGACAAAATCTCTCCATAAGTAGTATGGCTGGGAAAGGAGGAATGAGGAGGGAGCAGGGGACATGAGGAAGCACTGCAATATCTAAATGAGAGGTAAGAAAACAAGGGCAGTTTTGCTGTGATTGCAGATGACACTTGCACTCCTATCATTTCCGCACCCACCTCTAGCCCAGATGACTTACTGGCCTCATGAGTGAATCAATGAATTCTTCTCTGTAAGAGAACCACGGTTTGCCTTTTTAAAATGCTGACAGTGCAACACAAGTGAGGATACTCACCTGCTGCACCCAGCATGCAGCCCACATTCCTTCAGTGGGCCTTTAGGAGTTGGACCCAACCTAGTTTCCCAGCCTCTTCTCCCACGACTTCACTCTACAAATGGATCTGGTCCAGCCACAAACCTTCTCTGGGCTCCCTGAATGTACCTAACTCTTACAGGCTGTCACTCCCCCATTTTCCACCTAACAAAACCCTTTCGGCCTTCAAGACGCCACTCGAACACCCCCTCCTCTGAGAAGCCTCCCCCAGTCCCTTGCCCAGAGTGAGCAGTCCCTCCCTCTTCCCATTCACCTAATTCCTTCTGCCTGTCAGATGCCCCCTTATAAGTAACAAAGGCATGAGCGTGCACCTACCCTCAAGGAGCCTCTTCCAGGAGGGGGCCGGGCTCTGATCTGCTTTTTGACATGATACTTTGTGCCGAGATCTGCCCTCTCCTGCCAGGCTGTGCTCACACCAATACCAACAGGTCACGAGGCGCCCTGCCAGCAAAGCTTCGTGCCCCTGAGAGTTGTCTAATGCACACGCAAGCTCAAAGCAGCTCTCGGGTGGCCTGTTGCAGGGCACAGCACAGTTCTGGCTGTGCAAAGACAGATGCTGGGCCCTTCCCTGTGCTGCTCAGCATATACCCGCTATCCAGAGCACCTTTCCTTGGCATTAATTCAACCAGTCAGTTAAGATGGATTGCACGGCCTGCTGTGTGCCAGGTACCATGTGGACCCCACCACCCATGCCCAATGCAGGTCCCTCTAATGGGCAACCCTTGCTCCACACCTCCCTCTTGGGCTGCTCGAGACTGTCAGGTCTGGCCCAACCTGCTCTCCAGCCCTGCTTCCTTCCTGTCCCTTTCCTGAGTGCAAGTTAGCCCTGGTAAACCTCTGGCCCTGCCAACTCCCTCTCACGGTCTGCTTCCTAAAGGACCCAATCTGAGACAGTGGGTTCCAGAGTGGTCCAAGACAGCAAGTTGTAAGATGGAGTCTTGGTACAGGATCACCCTGCAACTGCCCAGGAGGCAACGAGGTTCCCATCTTTGGGCATAGGTGGCATGCAGGTGGCTCCAGGCACAAAATGGCAGCCTAGTTGCTAGATCTTTGGTGTTAGAGCTTTTGATGGGACGGGTAGCTTGTGAAGAGGAAGTTCCTGGCAGGTGAGGAGACCCAGGCAGGACGGACGTCTGGAAATGGAAACTCAGGGAGTGGATGGTGGTGACTACGTTGCCCGGATGACGCACACGGGGTTAATGAGAGGCCAAGGGCAATCAACAAACGTCTAAAAATTAAGCAGAAGCACTGGAGTCGTCCTGGTGGTTTACAAAGTAGCCCCCGATCCAGGCAATGGGCGAGCAGCAAAATCTGAAGAACAAACCCAGGACTTGCTAAGGTGGCTGAACTCCAAAGACAGCTGAACGCTCAACCAAGGCAGGTCTATCATGCCAACGACACAGGCCCTGTTGGGGAAAGCTGCGTGCCTGATACATGGAACAGGGACATCTAGGAGAAGGTCTCTGAATATCTAATCTCCCCAGATGCCCTTGAAACTTCTGAGTCTGCAGCATCAGCCCAGCAAGAGCCAGTGCAGGCACCCTACCCTGAAGGAGAAATAAATCCCACAAGAATGTTCCCCACAGGTGTCCTCCCTCCCAGGGGTGGCCCTCACCTTATCACTGGCTGCCAGGTAGGTGACCGACAGTCCCAGTTTGCTGAGGAACTTGCAGTGCTAACACCCAGAGAGTCCCGTGGAAGCTGGAGGAATCGGTGAGCCGACGGCCAGACCCGTGACCAGAGGGAAGCTGCAGCACAGAGCTGCACGGGCAGGATGTGCCAGTCCTGGTAAGGGGCAAAGGGATGACATCCCTGAGGAGCTGCAGGATCAGCACGCACCTGCAGCGGCCGGGGGTGTCCCTGCGGGATGGGACCCAGATGCAGCTCAACCTGTGGGGGCTGGAAACGAAGACTAGGTCAGGGACTTGGAGACACTCTGCTGCTAAACACAACCCAATGCCCCGGCAGGCAGCCGAAGGGATGGGGCAAACCTGTGGATGGCATGGGATGGGCAACAGCGATGGTCCATGCCTGAGTGATGGTGAAAGGCCCGGACTGTCAGTGCAGACGGTGAAGGAAGGGGTTCAACGGCTGAGCAACGTGAGCTTGCTGGATCTGGACAGAAGAGGTGAGGCCAGAAGACACCTCGGAGGATCATGTTTCAGGAGAGGGCCCTGAGGACACATGCTTCAGCAAGGGCACCGGGAATGTGCTGGAGAGAGGGTGCCAGCCTTCCTCAGAGGTTCAGCGTGGGGATCCCCTGCAGGCCAGGGCGGACCACAGGAGAGTGTCTCGCAGAACGGGGTGCACCAAGAACTGGAGGCTGATAAGGGTGCTATAGTCTCCTCCTCTTCCACCTCCTCTCCTCCCATCTTCCTCCCCTCCTAATTCTCTCTTCCTCCTGTCCACCTCCTGTCCTCCTTTCTTCCTCCTCCTCCTCCCCACCTCGGGCTCTCCTTCTCCTCCCCTCCTCCTCAACCTCTCGGCTTCTCTCTTCTCCCTCCTACTTCTCTCCTTCTCATTTCCCTCTCTCTTCTTTTCCTCCTTCTCCTCTTCCTCTCTCTTCTACCTCCTCCAACTCTGTTCCCCTCCTCTCTTCTCCACTCCTCCCCCACCTCCTCCTCTCCTCCTCCTTTTCCGCTGCCCCTCTTATCCACTCCTCCTCTCCTCTCCTTTGCTTCTCATTCTCCTCTCTTCCTCCTCTCCTCCTTTTCCTCCTCTCCTGGTCCTCCTTTCTGCTACCTCCTCCTCTTCTCTTTCTCCTCTTCTCTGCCTCCTTTTTTCCTCCTCCATCTCTCTTCCTCTTCCTCCCCTCCTCCGCTCCTCTTCCTCCTACACCTCTCCTCCTTTCCTCCCTCATCCTGGTATTCCCCTCCTTCTCCCTTCCTCCCCATCCTCCCACCTCCACCTCCTTCTCCTCTCCTCCTTCTGTTCTTCTCTCTTCCTCCTCCCCATCCCTCTCCTCTCATTTTCTTCTCCTCCTCATCTCCTCCTCTCCCCCGCCTCCTCTCCTCCGTATCTGCCTCTCCTTCACCTTCTTTCCTTCTCCTCTCCTCCTTCTCCCCCCTCCTCCTCACTTCCTCTTCCAGTCCTCTTCCTCTTCTTCCTCCTTCGCTGCTCCTCCTCCTCTTTTCCATCTCCTCCTCTCCTCTTCTCTTTTCTGCGTGCTCCTCTCTTCCTTCACCTCTTCTCCTCGGTCTCATCTCCTCTTCTCCTTCTCCTCCTCCTTCCCTCCTCTAACCGGCTCCCTCTCTTCCCCCTCCTCCTCCTCCTCTTTTCTACCCTCCAGCTCCTGTTCCTCCACTTTACCTCTCTCCTCCTGCTATACACCATGTTCGTGCGACCCTGTGTGAGTCCACGGGAGAAAAGGAAAGCTAAAAGGTGGACAGATGGGTGCAAGAAGGCAAAGAAGGGCGCCCTCTCCGATCTAGTGGGCGGGGTGCTGGATACATGTGAGTGCCTCCCCCTTAGGGGAGGGGTCACAGCCTCCAGACGGAGGGGCCACAGGACACTCCATGACCTCTGGCTTTACTTACAATTTGGAGGGCTTAGGTGAATACTGAGTCCAAAATAGCCCTGCAAAGAGACAGAGGAACAAGCCTCTGAGCCGACCAGGTCTCTGAAATACAAAAACCAACATGAGGCGAGAGGCAGAATGTGGGTAACACCCCTCACTGGCACCGAGGAAGGAGAACTGTTCAGACCCCGGGCACAACTAGTGCCTGAAGAATATCTTAGTTTATAGTGCTATTGCTCAGCTGTTTCCTTTATATAATCCTTCATATATAATCACATATTAGTTTATAGAATTAGTGCTTGAAGTATAACTTACTGCTTACATATATCTAGTTTATATAATCACACTTAATACTTATATCTGGCGTAGTCAGTTCTATATAATCTTTCTATATAATCATATAGGTATTGTAGTCAGAGCTGTACTGACACATTTAGTGCTGATGTATATAATCCTTCTATGTAACCATATAGTAGTTTGTAGTAGGAGGAATGCCTAGAGCAGTCACAGAACAGAAGCAGTACATGGGAAAACAGCCAGACCAGGACAAGAACCAAAGGCCCAGGCGGTGGCGTCCCTGCCTGAAAGGGCATATGCTGTATGGCAGGCTTGGAGCAAGAGCCTCTCCTCCTGAAAAAGGAGTTGTAGTACCTTGCATCCAGTTCCTGTGGAAAGTAGGCCTCAGGCCTGAGATCCTGGAAGTAACCGAGGGAGAAGAACCCCTCTGGTGTGACCAGTCACGGCAGCTGTACACCCGGTCAGTCTTTTCTCACTTCTGTGCTAGCTCAAATCATCCTCCCATAAATATCTTAAGAGAAGAGCACAAGTCTGTCAGTTCCCACTGCATTAAGCTTACATCATCCTTCTATTAGAAATCCTTTGACGTCTCCAGCCCCCAGATAAGAAGTGTTGTGCATGACACCTGCTGCACACAGCCCACCTCCTTGCCTCGGTGACCTAATGGGGGTGGACCCCTTTTCTGCACATGACCCTCTACTACTGTGCAGGGCACGGCCCCCTGCTGCGCACAGCCCACCTCTCTGCCCAGGTGACATAATGGGGTGGCCCCCTCACTTGTGACTCACGTGATTAGGCATGCCCTATTACTAAGCCTACAGATGATGACCTCACACACGACCCTGCCCCCTGCTTGTACTTAATAAATACAGATGCTCTTGGGCATTTGGGGGCCGTCACTGACCTCTGCTCACAAGTGGCATGGCCCCCCGAGTCCAGATGCTCTTCACCAGTTCTTCAGTGTCCTGTCTCTTTACTTCTCTGATCCTGCACCTCAACACAGCATAAGGGACACCCCACGACCCTGTGGGGCCTCCACAACCCTACAGCAGCATGCAGAAAGAGCTCCTACAGCTCCATACCAACAAGGCAAATCACTCAATTAAAAAGTGGGTAAAAGCCATTTCCTAGATGAGGAAAGCAGGCTGACCAAGAAGCATCTGAAGGGAAGCCGGGAATTAGGGTCAAAGCGGTCCCAGGCTGGCCGTGCCCTGTAACCCTAGGCAGGATCACACACGAACCCTCTTGGGAGGAGGGTGACTTCCTCCTGGGCCTCAGAGTCAAAGCAGCACAGTGAGGAGAGGGTGGCTGCCCTCTGGAAAGTGTCAGCAGGGAGGCAAGGGAAGAGGAACGGGGTGACAGGCTCAGAAAATGGGAAGAGTCGCACAGAAATCATGCTGAGACAAAAATAATGCTTCCCTAGGGAAGCACGTGGATGGAAGAGACAGACTGAACAGCCAGGGATGCTGAGCACAGAGAGGGAAGGGGACAGCACATTCCCAAGGGACAGCCGTAGTCAGGGAAGCTAGCCTGCCACAACGGTGGAGAGGAGAGGCGGGGCGGGGTGAGGCGAGGAGAGGAATAAGAAAGGCAGAGGCAAGGCTCAGAAGGCCAGCAAGATGGACAGGGAGCTCTGCAGGGGGCTCCCAGGGATGACAGGGAAGGAAGACTCTGAGAGGGGGCTGTGGTTTCAGGAAGGAGGCAGTAGCCTGGGGTGGGGGGCTGGCATGGGGTGCCATCAGCTGCAAAGCAAGATCTTTGGAAAACACAAGGACTTCCTAAAAGAGACATGACGTGGCACGATGGGGATGCAAGCAAGGCCTGAAGAAGAAAGCATACCTTGAGGAGGAGAAACACTCCTGGCCCCAGGAGATGGGGTCAGCTGAGTGTTTGCTAGTGGGGTGCAGCCAGGCACAGCGGTTTCATGGGAGCGCAGCAAGGAACCCGAGAAGGCCCCACATGCCCGCAGTTGCCTGCCTGGGGCTCCAGAGCATCCACCGAGGGCCCCACAGGGGAAGGCAGGAGTAGGACGGGTCTGGGGAGGTGAAGGCTGGCCTGACCTGCTGACAGAGGAACAGAGAGGGAGGGGAAAGTCTTGTTCCTGCCAGGACATCGTAAATGGGAGGAGTGAGGTCAGAAATCAGAGCGTTTTCGGGTTTGGTGCTGACTTGCTATTGGGAATGAAAATCAAGACTCAGGTGCCATCTGGTCCCTTTCTCAGGGGTAGCCGACCACCACCCTCATCCCTACCTGACCTGGCGATGCCATTCTTCCTAGGCCCATTCAACGCTGCAGCTGCTTTTCTTTGACTTCTCCTCATCTGACCACAGATCAGACCTCTGCTGTTTGCTGCCACCCAGGGAGAATGTGCACTAATGTGCGCACTAACCCCACTGCCCAGCACACCCAGGAGAGTGGGGCAGCTGGGAGAGTTTGAAAACGGAGCCCTTATGTAGCCACCATGGGCTTCCCCGCTAGCAGTCACATGTGAGTACCCAGCTCATTAGGTGAGTTCTAGCTCTTCAAACAAGAGGCCACGGGAGGAAGAGCAGCAGCCCACCATCCCGGGGATCCTCACTCACGGTGTGAAACCACTCCCAGCAGGTTCCGGAGTGTCTGGCAGAAGCCGGCAACCATTCTTGGGGGAAGGAGCCCAGGAGGGGATGCTAGCATGTATGGGAATTGGAACTGATGATCTGAAGGTCCCTTGCCGGCCTGAGGCTTATATCCCATCAAGAGGGGCCCTCTCCTCCTCACCTCATCTCCAGCATTCCTGCTTCCTCAAGTTTCTCCAAGGAGAAGTAGGTGCATCTCACTAGAAAAGACGAGAAAGCAGCCCTTTGCTGATTCAACAGTTACTAAGCAGATACTGTGTCCTGGGCATCCAGTTTCAGAAATGAGTAAAACACCGTCCTTGGCAGAGGTTGCGGTGAGCCGAGATCGTGCCATTGCACTCCAGCCTGGGTAACAAGAGCGAAACTCCGTCCCAAAAAAAAAAAAAAAAAAAAAAAAAATCAAAAAACAAAAACAAAACAAAACAAAACAAAAAAAAACACCGTCCTTGCCTTCAAGGAACTCAGAGAGCATGCGGCAGCCACAGACTCTTACAGCGCAATTACCACCCTGGGTTCCAAGAGCCTAATGTGGGGTGGGGAGAGGGGAGGTTAAAAATGCTATTAGAACTGGAGACAAAAGTCCCTAACACTGCGGCGGGACCGTGAAGGTGACATTAAAGTTGTGCCTTGAAGGAGGCCAGGAGTGCACCAGTACAAGGCCATGGGAACCGCCGCTGCAAAGCAGGGAGACCTGGGGCAGCAGGCTGATGGCGACCTGTGACTAAACTGCACAGCGTGAACCCAGGGACTGTTTGGCTTAAGGGTGGAGAGAGCTGGGCAGACTCCCTGAGCTGTTAGGACTTCAACCTGAGAAGGCCTGGCAGGGTTTTCAGTAGAGGGTTGCTAGGGACAGATTTGTGACTTAGAAACTAAACTGAAAGAGTGTGGAGGACAGACCCAAGGGAGGAAAGACAGAGGCCTCCAGGTTGGTCAGGAGGCTCATGGAATGGTGCAGGCTCCAGACCACGGGGCCTGAACTCAGGAAGTAGCAGCGGGGATGCAGGAAGAGGAGCATTTTGGTCTCATCAGGCACTTCAGAGGCACGCACCTGGAACTTGGTTATGAAGTCAATGTGGGGGACTGGGTAAGCGGAGGGACAGAGGAGCGCAGCATGGCGGCGCTGCGGCCTGACTGAGCCCTGACTGAGATGGAGAAGAGAGTTTGAAAAGCAAGTTCGCCAGGGAAGTTGGGCTGTGTGTTGGGCGACTTAGGTCGGAGGGGCGGCAGGACATTAAGAGTGGGGATGTTTCTCAACACCTGCAAAAGAGGCGTTAAAAAGACAGTCCCTCCAGACCCCATTTTGGCAGGCACTGACAGAGCCGCTAGGACACAGGGAAGCAGGCCTGGGGGGCGCTCAGCCCTGCAAGACTCAGCCTACAGCTGCGGGGACCCCAGACAAGTGTTCCCGCCCTTCTTGCTGCTTCCATGCCCTATGGAGGTAGACTCTGAGGGTGCAGTTAGGTCGCCGGGGCAAGTTTAGAATCTTGCCTAAGGGTGCAGCACAGAAGTGCCTCAGCTCCCTCCTCCAGCTCCATCCTGCTCCTCAAGCTGCACAGCCTGCCTTCTCCCACAGCTCTGCCCACAGCTTCACCCCAGTTCTGCTCCGCTCCACCAGCATCTCCACCATCAGCTCTTCCTCCCGCAACTCCGCCCAAGCTGCTTCTCCCGCAGCTCCACCCTAGCTGTTCCGACTCCTAGCTCCTTCTCCCGCAGCTTCGCCCCCAACTCCTCCTCCTCCTCCCAGCACTAACCAGTTCTGCCCACAGCTACGTCCTCCTCTTGCAGGTGGCTCCTCCAGCATCTCTGACACAGTTCCCGCTGCAGCTCCACCCTCAGCTTCTTTCTCCCAGCTTTTTCCCACAGCCCCATCCTCCTCCCCATGCATGTCCACTCCCAGCTCCAACTCCTCTGGCCCCTTCCTGCTTCTCCTACCCGTCTGCCCACCCCAGCATCTTTCAGCTTTCCTCCAGCTCTGCACTAGCTCCTCCCCAACCGTGCTCACACACCAGCCTTGCTCTGGCTTGGCTCCTCCTTCCCCAGCTCATTCCCGCAGCCCCGCCCCATCTCCCACAGCGCTTTGCACAGCCCCGCCCTGCTCCTCCTCCGGAACCTCCAGGCTTTCCCTCAGCTCCACCGGGCAGCTGAGCTATGCACCAGGCCCTCCTACAGCACTTTCTCATGACACGAGCCTGCACCTCCCCAGCCCTCGCTCCCCCAAGCTGGTTCTCAGGAATCCGCGGGGTGCTCCCGCAGCTGCTTCTCGCTCAGCTCTTCCACTGCCTCGCCGTGCTTCTCCCGCCACAGATTCCGAAGCCCCGCCCCCAGCACCTCCCCAGTGGTCTCTCTCGGCTCCGCCCCGTCCCTAGGCCCGCCCTGTTCCTCTCAGGGCTGCTTCAAAAGCCCCGCTCCAGCCCCGCCCCAGAGACGTCCCTCCCCCAGCCCCGCCCTACTCCTCCTGCGGTCGCTTCCAAGATCCCGCCCCCAGCCCCTCCCCAGCGGTTTCTCGCAGGCCCGCCCCTCCTCTCACCTAGCCCCACCCTGCTCCTCCCGCGGCTACTTCCAAAGCCCCGCCCCATGCCCGCCCCAGCGGTTTCTCAGCACCGCCCTGATTCCCGCCTCTCCCCCAGCCCCACCCTGCTTCTCCTGTGGGTTTCCAAAGCCCCGCCCTCAGCCCCCTACGCAGCGGTTTCTCTCAGCCCCTCCCCTCCCGAAGCACCGCCCTGCCTCTGCGGCTGCGTCCCCGCCCCACCCCCAGCTCTGCCCTGCTTCTCCGGTGGCTCCTTCCAAGGCTCCGCCCCCAGTCCCCTCCCCAGCAGTTTCTCAGCCCCGTCCCTCCCCGAGCCACGCCCCCACCCAAGCCACGCCTTGCTTCTCCTGTGGGTGCTGCGAAAACTCCACGCCCAACCCCAACCCAACCCCAGCGGTTTCTTTCAGCCCCACCCTCCTCCTCTCAGCGGCCCCCTCCTTCCCCGCGCTGGTTCTCACCTCCTGTAGCCTCGCTCAGATCTGCCCCGGCCCCACCTCCAATAGTTTCGCCCAGCCCCCCAACCCCGTCTAATTCCCGCCCCACTCAACCCCGCCCCAGCGATTATCTCAGTCCCGCCCTTCCCCTCCCCAGCTCCGCCCTCCTCTTCTCAGCCCCGATCCCCGACCCTCCCCAGTGGTTTCTCCGAGATCCTCCCTGCTGGTCTCGCAGCTCTGAGCTTGAAACTCCTGCCTGGTGGCCTTGTCCCGCCCCTCTTCGTTTTCCTCCCTCCGGTTCCTTTTCCTCCTTCCGGTTGTTTGTCCAGGCTGCCGGTCGCGTCAGGACCCGTAAACTGAACAGCGTCTCCTGGCGGCCAGTGCGTGCGTAAGTGCGTGATGACGTCAGTGCGTCGCTTCATGAAGAGTGGCTTTCTAGACTTGGCTGTCTATATGCAAGGCTGAGTACGTGCCTCCTGCGTACGTGCGTGGTGCACGTACGTGCGTGATTACGCGCCCCCGTACGTTCTTCGTGAGCGGGATGACGGGAGCTGCATGAAAGCGGAAAAGTTACGGACTGTTAGCAGTTGCTAGTAACCCCCGGTTTCCCGGAGTCAGTGGCAGCGAGCGACCTTGCAGCCCCGACAGGAGCCGGGAGCTCTTTGTTCTCACCGCGGCCCAAGTCTCCTCGCTTTCGAGCCCATCATCCTGGCTCCGGTGGCCTCGCTGGGTCGCGGGGACGCGGAGGACTGTTCTTCTGTTGCCAAAAGCCAGAGTCGGCCCTGGACGCGACGACTGTCAGGGTCCGGAGGCCGTAACACCGGCCGCGGCTGAAAGGTACGGGAACCTGTTTGCTCGGCCGTCTTGCGGACAGCACCCGAGGGCTGGGGTTTCCCTGGATATGAGTTTGGGAGCCAGTGTGGGGCGCGCCCAAGGCACCCTTTCCTGTCCCGTGCTCTCGCCAGGGTCTCAGCCCCGCTCCTTCTAAGCGCGTCTTCTCGCGGCATGCGTCTGCGAGTAGAAATCCCGTGTTCTGGCCGGGCGCGGTGGCTCACGCCTGTAATCCCAACACTTTGGGAGGCCGAGGCGGGCGGATGGTCAGGAGTTCTAGACCAGCCTGACCAACATGGAGAAACTCCAGTCTCTACTAAAAATACAACAGTTTTAGCCGGGCGTAGTGGCGCGTGCCTGTAATCCCAGCTACTCCAGAAGCTGAGGCAGGAGAATCGCTTGAACCGGGAGGCGGAGATTTCGGTGAGCAGAGATCGCACCATTGCACTCCAGCCTGGACGACAAGGGCGAAACTCTGTGTCAAAAAAGTAAAGCCCTGTGCTGCTCCACACACACCGACCCCATCTCGGCCCGGTCTTCCCTGCCTCCAGCTTGGACCCTCTGCTGTGAGCTCGCCTGGACCTGAGGCCAGGCAGTGCACAGCTCTGTGGCCTGTGGCATCGTGCTCAGCGTGACCTACCCAGAATTAAGATGAGGGGAATGGGATGTAGGCCCCCCCAAACCCTTGCCCAGTGACAATGGGAGGGGAAGTGGCATTTTTCTCCCCTCGGATGGAGCGTGCTCAGTTGCAGGAATGCGACTCAACTTCCAGAAATGATGTTCTGCCCTGCGGGCCGGTGCACCCTGTGGTCCTTGACCCAGACAGGTGCCGAGGGTCCCATTGCTGTGATTAGCAGAACCAAACTGAGTGAGGTGCACAAGTGTGTTACTCGTAAGACCGGCCCTCCCAGCTCTTCTTGGTTTCCAATGCCTGCTAAGTAGATGACCTTCCTAGGGCCATTAACCAGCCTTGCTGTTTTGCACTTAATGACCTTTCCTCCTTGTCTTCCTTGTTGTGCAGGTAAAGAAGCTACGTGGAAGAGTGTTTCCTCCTCAGGCCGCAAAGCAGATACTCTCTGCAGCACCAGGTAGGAGGGGACTCAACCCTCTTCCTGCCTTTCCAGTTACATGAGTTCTTACTAGGGATTCCACACACACCCAGTTCACATTTGTTGTGATTTTGTGGTGACGACGAGAAAAGGGTTGGCTAAGAAACTGAGGGGTGGAAAAGAGGCAAACGTTCACGGTAGCCACATATCCCGATGGCTGTGGCCAGGCCCTGTGGGGGACGTTCAGCCTCCGTCAGAAGTAATCCAGAACCAAGGAACCTGGTAATATTTTGTCACCCATCAGTAGAATAATGATGCTCAGAGCCATGTGTGTGTGAGGAAATGGCACCACGGATGGGTTGGTGGAGTGTACACAGGTGAGTTTTTGTGGAAGGCCATTTGCTGGCAGATATCAGCATCTTAGATGGGCGTGCCGGGCGGCCGAGGCATTCTCTTCAGCAGGTCTTCACACGGCGAGCGTTAGTGGAAATGTCATTTCTAGTGGCAAAAGTGGGAAGCAGCTTGTAACTCTCCATCGGTGGAGGAATGGTCCAGCAAATTATGGGACGACCAACAATGGGATATCACACAGGCAGTGAAAAACAAGGTAGATGAAGATGGGCAGATGGAGAGAATGGGCATGATGTGCTGTTAAATGGAAGAGTCATGCCCTATCCTGTGGAGATGTGTTGGGAACAGCAGTTTGCCAAGATGGCTGAAGCAAAGGACCATAAAGGGGCTGGCTTAAACTACCGACATTCGTTGTCTCACAGTTCTGGAGGATGGAAGTCTTAAATCCAGGAGTTGGCCGGGTTCGTTTGTTCTGTGGGCTGTGAAAGACAATCTGGTCTGTCCCCCTGTCTTAGCTTCGGTTGGCCGGGTGGCACTCCTTGGCTTGTAGAAGCATCTCCCTTATCTCTGCCTTCGTTTTCTCATGGTGTTCTCCCTGTGTGCCTCACTGTCTCTAACATCCCCCTTTTCATAAGGACGCCAGCCACGTTGCATGTGGGTCAGCCCTAATGACTTCAGTTCTGCTTGATCACCTCAGTAATGACTCTGTCCTTATGTATAAGGCCACATTCTGAGGTGCTGAGGTTTAGGACATACCCATTTTAAGAGGACACAATGCAACCCATCACAACAGACAAAAGCCCTGAGGTAGAAACAAGCTTGGCATGTTCCCTCAGTGGATGGAAGGCCTGTGTGGCTGCAGGGTGGTGAATAAAGGGGAGAGGAGAGGACATGGCTGGGGCGGGAAGCCTCTGAGACATCTTGAGAGGCTATGACTGGGCTGATGTTCTGGCTTCAAGCCCATGGCTCCTTCTGAAGCACAGGGCTGTACTCCATGCAGGAGGAGGGGACCCTCTCCCAAGGTACACACGCAGGAGGCAGGGACCCAGGCAAGAGGCGTGAGAAGTCAGAGCGCGTGTGACGGTGGGCTGGCGCCTCATTCTCCTCAGCCATAGACTGGGCCTCACAGTAGCACTGACCCTGCTGGGTTACTTGGGGATTCCATTTGATGATCTGAAGATCATGCCATCGGAGAGGCTGGCATGTGGAAGGCATGTGTTTCGGGGGGGCGGCAGTTGTTCTGAATTTCATTCTTTTTTTCAGCTCAGATCGGGGGCAGGGGTGTCTGCTGACATGGAGCGCAGTGGTGGGGGAAAGGGCTTGAGGAAGATGGCACCCAGATGGGTGGGGAAGAGATGTCTGACTGAGGACCGTCTGAGGTCATGGTGCATCCTGAGAGCAGAGCTGAGATTGGATATCAACGATGTGGGCTCAGCAGCCCTGCAGTAGAAGCCGGGAAGGTCAGTGCCTTGGTGCCAGCAAGGCCAGGGCACTGAGAGTACTGGCGTGGCACAGCAGGGGGAACAGAAGAGAAGCAGAGCCTCGGACTGCCCCTCTGTGCTGGAAAGAGGACTGCCACCAGCACCACCTGTCCACTCTGTCTAGGCCGAGGGGGCCCTCTGTTCTCTGTGTTCCCTAGGGCTTGGTGACCTCTGTCATAGCACTGACCACACGCTATCTGGCCTGTGCCTTCCTCTAGCTGCCCCCGCCCTACTCCAGACCTCCCCAAAGACTCCATGAAACAGACCTGAGTCAGCCGAGTCCCAACCCCTTTTCTTGGGCCTGCCGTGGCGCTGGACATCAGTGACTGCGTAGTGACACGCGGAAGCAGTGGACCATCAAGGTCAGTGATATTTAAGGGACCTGGGAGACACGGGGGAAAGGTCAGGACCACTGCCAGTGAGCTTGGAGGGCTGGCATGTGATGCGTTTCTGTGCTTCGGCAGTCCACACACAGGAGGCCCCCGGAGCTTTCGAAGATGAAGTTTGGCTGCCTCTCCTTCCGGCAGCCTTATGCTGGCTTTGTCTTGAATGGAGTCAAGACTGTGGAGACACGCTGGCGTCCCCTGCTGAGCAGCTACAGGAACTGTACCATCGCCATCCACGTTGCTCACAGGGACTGGGAAGGTGATGCCTGGCGGGAGCTGCTGGTGGAGAGGCTCGGGATGACGCCTGCTCAGATTCAGGCATTGCTCCGCGAAGGGGAAAAGTTTGGTCGAGGAGTGATAGCGGGTAAGTGACGATGTGCCAAATGCTCAGGCAACTCCTGGAGCTGCCACCCAAGATCTTGCTGGGGAGTGTGGGGCCATCTGTTGTCGTCCGAACTGATTGGCGTGTACACGACAGTTTCCTTTGATGACAAACCTCCAAATGGGCGGCGAGGGCCCTGGGCTGGGGGTTGACAGGCCTAGCTTCCGCATGCTCTGATAAATTGTTTCTCCACTCTGGGCCCCAGTTCCTGTTTCTGATCTCAGTGAGAAGCCGAGTCAGGTCCCTGTGCACATGGTGCATGGGGGGGGGGCGGTGTGGGGGTGTGTGTGTGTGTGTGTGTGTGTACGTACGTACATGTGTATGTGCGCGGGTTGCACATGTCTGCCAGAGACCAAGAGAAGCAGCCCAGCCTGCCGAATGGGTCAGGTGGCCTCTAGAGTTAGGCTGTCTGCCTGGCTTCACGAGCCTGCCCCAGCCCCACCACTCATGGCACCCTGGGGGAGTCCCCTAACCTCTGAGTGATTGAGTTCTGACATCAGCACCTGTCCCCTGGTGACCTGCGTAGGCATCACCTGTAGGCTCCCAGGCGGTGGCTGGTGCCCTTCCAATCTGCAACCGCTGCCCTCAGCAGTCTGGCTTGGACCTGCCTCTTACTTGTGTGGCTTCACTGAGGACAAGACCCTCTCTGTCTTTCTGGAGCCCTCCCCACTGCCTTTCCCAGCATTCGCTGAATTGAGTTTGTTTCGTTATCAAAGCTGTGGAAGAAAGACTTGACCCCCTTCTTGTCATTTTGCTGATGCCGTCTTACTTTCTATTGATTGTGACTTTGAGTAACTGTGTTGTCACACAGGCAGGCCTTGGGCTATGGAAGTGAAAAGCATTCATGTGTATCTCTCTTTGTGTACAGGACTCGTTGACATTGGGGAAACTTTGCAGTGCCCCGAGGACCTGACTCCTGATGAGGTTGTGGAACTAGAAAATCAAGCTGTACTGACCAGCCTGAAGCAGAAGTACCTGACTGTGATTTCAAACCCCAGGTGGTTACTGGAGCCCATGCCTAGGAAAGGAGGCAAGGAGGTATTCCAGGTAGACATCCCAGAGCACCTGATCCCTTTGGGGCATGAGGTGTGACAAGTGTGGGCTCCTGAGAGGAATGTTGCAGGGAAACCAGCTAAATCATTATTTCAATTCACCATCAGTTGAAACCAGCTAAATCGTTTAGCTGCTTTCAATTTACCATCATGATGCAGACCTACATACATTAGGTTAAATCTGAATTTCCCCTGCTTTGGAGAGTCCCAGCCACTAAGCACTGTGCATGGAAATAGGTTTCTTTGCTCAGACGAAGGAAGTAGGGGGTGGGGCTTTCCTTGTGTGATGCCTCTTTAGGCACACAGGCAGTGTCTCAAGTACTTTGTCCTTTGGGTAGAAGGAAAAGCTGCCAGTAAATGTCTCGGCATGGCTACAATTTTGGTCCTGCTAATTTCTGGATTATACAAATAAATGTGTTGTAGATGACCGGTTATGAGGCTCCATTCTGTGTTTTCCCCTGTCTTTGTTCTGGTCAAAACTCATCAAATCTGGCATCCAAGCGACATTACAGAAAGTCGGACCTGGCACTGAATGTTTGCCTGGTAGTGAGCAGCCATTAATGGACTGACTCATCCAGGATGGAGAGGACGTCAGACAAGAGCAGCTGTCTGTCCTTTCAGGTTACTCTCACTCTCTTAAGAAAGTGTCTGTCAGTTCCTGAAGCACGTGTGTCATCTGCATCACACAGCTACTTCATATCCTAGCGGTGGCCCTTCTCTTCTGAGCCAGGATGTTACAGTGGTCATAAATCCCTTGGCCAAATGGGGTGGCCTGACTCAGGGGTCCCCGGTAGGCTCGGCTAGGGATGCTGACCTGCTGATCAGATACTTCCTGGCAACATTGGGAGGGACCCATGGGGAACAATCTCCTGTTTAGAGATACTGCCAGGATCAGGAGTGAGGCTATTCTTTCTCCTGACCAGCAGGCAAATCTCAGGGGACCAGGTCTTCTTGGGCTTGGCCTCGACGCTTCCTAGCAACATCCTTTGCTGGGTGTGTGAAAATGCTGTTTCTCCAAATGAATGAGGACAGTGGGGACCAATGCCTGTCTTGGACAGGATTTTCAGCCTCTTCTGGCTTGTGCCAATGAGATGCGTATAGTTGTAGAAGGTTAGAAAGAACACAGACAACAGTTCTCATTTAAATTTTTTATTTCCATGGAATTTTGTTTTTCTTTATTAAGACCAAGAGGCCTTCATGAGAATGACAATGATAAATGCCTTAATGATAAGAATATAGACCAAAAGGGAGGCCAACAGAATGGAGTACCACGCATTGTCCAAAGATATTATACTACTATTATCTGGGTAAACCAGGCTACTAGGCACTTCCCTTGTGCTTTCCACCCAGGCAGTAGCCAAAGATCCAAATGTGACATTTCCGGAGGTGCCCTCCCAATTTGAGTTATTTGGTTCCTGAGGGGGCCCATATCCCGGGGGATGCCCAGTGACAGTGTTCCTGGGCTGCATACTGCAGTGTGTGAAGGACTGGGTGCCACTGGGTCCCTGAACATTGTGGGTTCCCCCCTGGGACATTTCGATGGCCGCATTCCTGGCATCGCTGTGATGGACCAGCTTCGCCCTCTTTGGAGCTGGGACATGGGTCACTTGCTGAGTGGTGTTTTGGAGGTCACCTTTTCTCCGGATATTCTCCAGGAGCCAGGGCTTGCCTCTCTGAAAATTGGAGTTGTGGTAGATCTGAAACAAAATGAAGTATGTTAGTTGTTCTGGGATCAATTATTCCTTTTCTACTTCCCAAAATTATGATCTCGTTTTGCAATGGAGGAAAGAATGCTTTAAGTGGCAGCAAGTGTGGTATGCCCTACAGCATGACCTGACTAGAGATAAACAATTCATAGGTCAAGGTGGTGCTATATAAATAGTATGAATTTTGATATTAAACTGCAACCCCCTTAGAGGTCATATGCAGGTCTGGATAATGTGTTCCTTTATATTATCTTTAAGGGAATTGTAGTTTAATGTCAAAATTCATACTTTTAAAATTGTATAGTTTGCATCTTTCAATAAACAAATACCTCACATATAAAAAAGTTATCTTTGACACTTAACTCTTTTACAGTATATTATTTGTTTTGGTGTTCTGTGAAGATGTTTGAGAAACAAAGGAAAGGGATTACAGAAATGCTTTCTACTTTACCATCATATTCTTGTCTCCTGGAGAGGTGATTGGGCATATTTTGCAGAATCCATAGAGGTTCAGTTGGCGAATGAAACTCTTCCAGCTATCTGTTTCGAAGATCTTCTCTGCGCCGCTCCGTTGAAGAGTCTCCCTCTGGAAGAGATCTTTCTCGATGATCACAGCGTCTCCATCATCGTTCCAGCGCACAGACCGGAATATGTCTTTCTCCACCATCATCCACATCTTTCTTGGGAAGGAAAACCCGGGAAGTTTATGGTTGTCTTCCATGCTGGCCATGTGTTGGTTCTCGTCTTCTCGTGGTGGGTTATCTTGGGAACCTGAGTCTTGGCTCACGGCTTGGTCCTCGTGCCTGTCCAAAATGTCACCGGAATCCAGATTTAGATCAGGTGATGAACTAGCTGGGCCCCCACTTGTTGGTTCTCCACCAACAGATGGGGCCAGCTTGGCTTCATATTCCTGTTCAGTATTCTGACTCGCCATGGAGCTGCACCAGAATATAGAGCATTTTGTCCTCGAGACCCTTATCACTGTCCTAGCAAGTCCAAAATGCCTTCAGTCGGAGTGAGGGTGCCCAATAAATACTGTACACAAAATTCTAGAGTCTCGGTATCAGGGCAACCAGCTGCTTAACTCATCATGTGCTTTATTTTTCACATGATGTCACAAAGGTGGCTCTCAGCCAATCTGGAGAGGGGGCCCTGGCCAGATGTTGGGGGAGGGGCCAGGTAGCGTAGCTTTCAGCTTCTCCCTTTTCTAAAAGCGTAAACAGGCATGGTTTAAGTTCCCAGAGAGTCTCCCGTCTTCTGACAGGCACCTTGTGTCATAGGGCCAGGCCCCAGATGAGCTGAGGAACCATGACTCTATGGCCATTCCCACCCCTGAAGACAGGGGAGGCCTTTTGGTAGCCTCTGATTTGCTCAAGAGCCAGCCCCTAGTTAGCCCTAGCTTGGGTTTCGCCAAGACTGCCTGAGTCAGACGGGCCCCTCACGGGTGACTGCCTTCTAGGAGATGGTGGTCCCTACCAGGCTGTTTGGCCTGGTCTGTGTTAGTAGCATCCCCATTTTACAATCCCCCCCATCTCCTTCCTGCTTGGTCTCTTCCAGGTACTCCTAATGATTGGTTGGATCTGCACCAGTGGGCCCAGATAAAGTGTTTCTTATTCCACTTGATGGAGTTGTCCCCAGAGGGGTGCTGTGCTTAAGTATGGTGGGAGCACTCCTCTCGCTCCTCTACCATGGTGTTACCCAAAGCACCATTTGTGGTTGGATGGCCACATCCTCAGCTATGCTTTGGAGTCTCCTGTGGAGCTCTGCTTGCCCCTGCATCTCTCTCTCTTGCAGATCACAACAGGAGATTACCTTTAGTTTCTATTTTTGCTCATAAATACTGTTTTCATTGCCCAAGACATGATCATTTCTGAGGCCTGCTGTACACAGACGATCCTAAGAAAAGTCTCTACTTGTTTAGTTAGACCCGATTAAAGTAGTCCAGCACAAAAGTGCCATCATTGTGTATTTGAAAATAGATGAGAGTATGAGTGTGTGTTGGGGTGGGCAGGAGGAAGGAGAAAACCTAAATGAAAGTCATCTTCAACCTCAAATGAGAGGATACAACAGTCTTTTGGTTGATACACCTTCTCTAGCCATTAAAGACAACTTTCTTCTTAATATTCACTCTGTATAGGGAGACAGAGTGATACAGTGGGAAGGCCCCAGGCTGAAAGGACCCTGGGCCCTTGTCCCATTGAGTAGCACCCTTTGCCCGCTCGGGGTCAGCCCTGGGTGCGAAGAGGGTTGGAGGAGGCTCTTCCCAAGGTGCCTTTTAGTCTCAGGGCTTTCTAATTTTTCATAGTGCCCCACATGCCTGGATGCAGGTTTGGATCATAGTCAAACACGCTCTTTAAACAGCCTTACAAAGGTTTTTGTTCCAGGACTCAATGTAACCTCTAGGTACACGTACTCTAAGGCTAAACATTAAAATATTGGTGACACCTCTAAAGGAGGATCCTTGAGTATTCAGTTACACAGCTGGCATCTTTCACTGACATACCAAAGTGCTTTTTCATAGGAGAGTTCTTAACACTGCAAATGATGCTTAGTTGTGGCTTTTGTGACCTTATGAACCCTGCTGATTACTTTTATAAGGGCCTTTGGCCATTAGGTGGGAGGGGAACAATCATGAAGAAAATCACTAGGGAAACTACACGGTAGCATTCAGCCAAGAGCTGGTATTGATTTGATTTAGTCACACTATGTCATGTGGCTTCTGTAGGACCATTACCTACCATTCTCCTTGGTTTTAAGTCACAGAATGTCCACTGGGATTACAAGTCTAAGACATCAAGCTACTCTTATGCCCTGGAGGGAATATTTAGGGTACTGACTTAAATCTAGTCAAGAAAAGTCATGGGAAGGCTGGCCGCCTCTGGCTGAGCCGGCTCAGTCCCCAAAGTTCAGCTTTGCAACCTTCAGCAATCAGTCAGACAGTCTTTATGAGTCACCTGCCACCTGCAAGCCCCTTTGAGGAAAATGGTTGGTCTTCTCTTCCTTGCTGCAAAGGCCCGCGAGATGGCCCCTGCATTGCTGCTTTATGAATGAAATAATCATGGTCAGACGACCCAAGCAGAGCACAGCTGACTACGGTATGAGGACCAGTGGCCCTGTGGAAGGCAGTCTCAGTGCCAATTTGCTGCAGCTTCTTTGTAGCTGTGCAGTGATCGAGAACAGTGCTGAGCTCTTGACAGTGGGGCCCGAAGGCATGAGGCCAGCCGCAGGGCAAGACTCTCTATGTAGGCCTTGCCTGTCACATGATCCCCACAGGCCCTTCCTCATCCTACCCCTGGCCTTTCAGGAGCTTCTTCCTTGCTGATCTCTCCCAGGCTCTAGGATGTGTCTCTGCAGTTGGTTCATCCTACCCCAGAGGAGTCTTTCTTTTCTTCTTCTTCTTCTTCTTTTTTTTTTTTTTTTTTACTTTAAGTTCTGGGGTACATGTGCGGATCATGCAGGATTGTTACAAAGCTATACACATGCCATGGTGGTTTGCTGTATCCAGCCCCCTGTCATCTACATTAGGTATTTCTCCTAATGTTATCCCTCCCCAATCCCCCCACCCCCTGCTATCCCTCCTCTAGCTCCCCCACCCCCCAACAGGCCTTGGTGTGTGATGTTCCCCTCCCTGTGTCCACGTGTTCTCATTGTTCAACACCCACTTATGAGTGAGAACATGTAGTGTTTGGTTTCCCGTTCTTGTGTCAGTTTGCTGAGAATGGTTTCCAGCTTCATCCTGTCCCTGCAAAGGACATGAACTCATTCTTTTGTATGGCTGCATAGTATTCCATGGTGTATATGTGCCACATTTCTTTATCCAGTCTACCACTGATGGGCATTGGGGTTGGTTCCAGGTCTTTGCTATTGTAAACAGTGCCGCAGTGAACAGACATGTGCATGTGTCTTTATAATAGAATGATTTATAATCCTTTCGGTATAGACCCATTAATGGGATTGCTGGGTCAAATGGTATTTCTATTTCTAGATCCGTGAGGAATCGCCACACTGTCTTCCACAATGGTTGAACTAATTTACACTCCCACCAACAGTGTAAAAGTGTTCCCATTTCTCCATATCCTCTCCAGCATGTGCTGTCTCCAGATTTTTAAATGATTGCCATTCTAACTGGTGTGATACGGTATCTCAATGTGGTTTTGATTTGCATTTCTCTAACGACCAGCGATGATGACCTTTTTTCCATATGTTTGTTGGCTGCAGAAATGTATTCTTTTGAAAAGTGTCCGTTCATATCCTTCACCTACTTTTTGATGGGGTTGTTTGTTTTTTTCTTGTAAATTTGTTTAAGTTTTGTAGATTCTGGATATAAGCCCTTTGTCAGATGGGTAGATTGCAAACGTTTTTTCACATTCTTTTGGTTGCTGGTTCACTCTAATGATAATTTCTTTTGCTGTGCAGAAGCTCTTAAGTTTAGTTAGATCTCATTTGTCTATTTTGCCTTTTGTTGGCGTTGCTTTTGGTGTTTTAGTCATGAAGTCCTTGCCTATGCCTGTGTCCTGAATGGTATTGCCTAGGTTTTCTTCTAGGGTTTTTTATGGTGTTAGGTCTTAAGTTTAAATCTTTAATCCATCTAGGGTTAATTTTTGTATAAGGTATAAGGAAGTGGTCCAGTTTTAGCTTTCTGCATATGGCTAGCCAGTTTTCCCAACACCGTTTATTAAATAGTGATTCCTTTCCCCATTGCTTGTTTTTGTCAGGTTTGTCAAAGTTCAGATGGGTGTAGTTACTTCCTAAGCACCAGAGGAGTCTTTCTAAACTGTGGCTCAGAACTTGTCAGTTGTGTAAGCACCGACCCCTCACTCCTCCAAGGCCTTCCTTTCCCAGCCTCATTAGCCACTGTGCCCTCTTTCTTGCACACTTAGGCATCCTCCATGCCTAACCCCCCTTCACTCAGCATTTGCTTGATGCTGGGTCCTGGGTAAGACAACTCTCAACCTCTGGTTTCCTCTGGTGCTGTCTTCTGAGCACACTGTGAACTTCCTTGCTGGTGTGGGTGCTTGTGCTGCCTCTCCCATGGGAACACCCTTTTCAACCCAGAAGCCACTCAGCTTGTCAGGGCCCAGGTCACCCCATGAGGCCAGCTGGCAAGACTTATTCCTAGGGACTGACCCACCACAGCTCTCCACCATTGGCTGGGTGGGTCTGGAGCTCCTGTGAGGTTGGGCATGTTGATGGGCTGTGTCCGCTCTGGACTAAGAGGCCTATGAGGATGGCTGAGACCACAGTGCAAATGTGGCCCTCAATACATACATGTTGGATGAAGAAAGTTCTGTGTCACCGGGAGCTCAGTGGGGTTTAGTATCCTTGGACATTGCTCTACACTAGAACAGTGATGACAGGACAATTATTGTGAGCTCCTACTGAGACAGGAGAATAGGGTCTGGAGACAGGGAACTGTAGGCCAATCTGTGCTAACTTCCTAAAAGAGAAAACACCAAGGTTTGGGGGCAGGAAATCTAAGGTCAATTCACTCTGACTTCCCAAAGCTGGATCAAAAGGAAAACAGCTGGGTCTGGGGGCAGGAAACCTAAGGCCAATTAACACAAACTTCCTAAAGCTAAACCAAAAGGCAACCCCATCTCTCCAGGCTGAGTAACAAAGGATCAGAGGCTACTCTCTCTACACCCATCCCCCTTCCACCACATCTCAGGTGGAAAGGGAGGGTGCCTAGGATTGGCCATGGGCCAAGCAGGGACCATCCCTTCTTCATCTGCATGGGGTGCCAGTTCACCTCAGCCTTTAGCCACAGACAAAATCCTTCATCCAGATAAGGGGAAGCCGATAAGAACCTCAAGTGGGGGTTTGAGAAAAGAAAACTTTGTAACTGAGCCCCTGAGCCACTTGCTCGGTCCCACTCCCACTCTGCGGAGAGCTTTCTGATTTTAATAAATTCCTGTGTCACTGCTTTGTTCCTGCATTTCATTATTCTGCTACTTTGTACATTTTGTTCAATTCTTTGTTCAAAACGCCAGTGACCTGGACAACTCATAGTCAAGGCGCTGTGCTAAGTGCTCTGCAGTCTGTGTCATTTACTGTACACACCCATCTGTTTTTAAATTGTTGTTCTACACTCCTCACTGCATAAATGCGCAGGATGAAAAGGGGTAAACCCATTTTGGAATCTCTTGGAAATGCAGGATTTCTTCCGGACTGCTTCCTAAGCATGATGAGTCTTTCTGTTCTCATGATGCTGTACGACAGTATTTTTCATCTCTCTCTCTCATATAGCCCTGCCAGACAAGAAGGTCAGGGGGAAGGTAAGAGATGATTGAAGCAATCTGTAAAGCTCTTATTGTTCAGTGGGCCATGCTGGTTTTATAAGGATGGAGGAAAAAGAGAATGAGACATCTGGAGAGGTGCAGGAGAAGGCATTGCGACCTTGGTGTTTCAGAACTGTTCCTGAAAGCTTTCTCCTCTTGCTGAAGGAAAACACCCCATGCTGCCTTTGCAAGCTTCTGCAAGTTTCGTGTATCCAAAATGGTGGCCACGCCTGAGCCCGTACCTGACCCCACTGACTACGGGACAGAGGGGGTGGCCCCACCTTCTCGGTGTTCCCCACAGAGCACCTCCAGGTGTCCTGTGTACCTGTCATGTGCAAGCCAAATTGTCTGCAAGGGAAACCAAGGATGGAACTGGATTATATAGCCTGTACTGTAAAACCTGTACAGGTGCTACAGTGGGAGGCCACAGTGTGGACCCCTTAACCTGTGCTGCCTGACTTAGGTACACCGTCTTGTGTTGCCCAAACTATGCTACACTCTAAGTTTGCAGGGGGACCATGTGTACGCTTGGGTATAGTACATCCTATATGTCCTGCCTGTCATGACACTGCCTCAGCCCTGGATGGCTTTCAGGCTAGCTCAAACTTACTGTCCAGGGCTGTGTTTTACCTGAATTGATGTCCCAGTTGATTGAATTGGCCAAGTGTAAAGAAAAAATACTAAAATTTAGGAGGGAAGCCATATGGCTGTCTAAGATACACCTCTGTGGTTAATGGGGTTTTGTGTTAACTGGTTCAGTTCAGGACCCATAACAGGCACAAGTGACAGCTATATGCAGCTCGGTTTCACCCTGCTGCGTCGTCCTATGATAACTTT